TGCAAGCTGCAGCTGGGCCATGTATGCAGTGTGGGGCAGGAAATTCTTGTCCCGTTTGGTAACCACACTCTCGTGCTGGGGTATGGGACACTCATGCCATGTCAAGACTGCCATGCACCTTTGCTTCAGTTTCTCTCAGCTGAGGCTCTGCCTGCCAACCTCAGTGCTGTCTTTCCATCCAAGTCTGACAAACCTGATGTTCTGTTTCACAGGGGCCAAACATTCCTGCCATAGTCTGTTCCCTCTGCACCAAAGAGGCGGCACAGAAAGCCAGCAGCCATGTGGGAAGCTCCATGCCACGGTAAGGAGCTGTGAGGCTGCAGGGAAGGCACAGCTGAGCAAAGGCTGCCCTACCCTGCCCACCTCTCCTCCCCCAGGACGCCTTTCCTGCAACCAAGCCAATTCCTGTACCTGTCCTTAAACATGGCAAGATGCAGCTTAGTATGCATTTCCTAGTCCTAATCAAATACATATTATTTCTTGTAATCTTACAACGGACTTCGGTTTTCAAGGGAAACAAGTTACCAGGGGAATTCCATTAGAGTCAGTGAAGGTATGCCTGAGAAGAGCATGTACTTCAGTATGTCCATTTCCTTACAGTGCTGTTTTTCAGCTAAGCACCCTGGCTTTTGGAAGTAATTTAATGCACCCCCAGCCCCAAAAACATACAAAGGGAGTAGTATAAATCCATGGGAGTGAGTAAGAATGCAGAGACTGTTTAACTTTTTTTTTTTTTTTTTTAATAGCAATATCTTTACGGCCTTTCCAGAATGCACAGCTCTTTTTCTTGGAGGGAAGGTGTGCTGCTATCCATGTTGTGCTATTTCACACCTTTTCTCCAACAGATGGCATAGATCCTCACCTGTTTAGAAAGAGATGTTTGAAATAGTTTTGCATCTTAAAAATAGATCCTAGCTATCAAAGGGATTAGTGATTCCAGCTCACAGATTGTTTTTTTCAAACATTCATCCCCTATTTTTCCTTATTATTGGCATTAGATGTTAACCCCTGATAAGCTCAGGCTGTAAGTATGGAACTACTATGGGTTAGCCTGCCAGACCAGATGGACAAGCTGATTTGTAATTTCTACGAATACTAGGCATGGTACAGAGGCTTGGATATGTTGATATGACTGCCCACCCGTACATGTGAACATGTGTCATATAACAATAGAAATAAAACATTATGTTTGCATTTAGACTGAATTTAAGATTCAAACATCATTGAGGTCCAGAAGTAGAACCAAATGCTACAGCTAATTCCTCTTTCTGTAAAGGGCTATGCTAAAATCTGAATCCTGGGGTTGAGAGAAGCCTGGCCATCTTCTTGCTTCTGTTTTCTTTGAAGAGCATCATGACGGTAAAAAGAAGGGGGGGTTGAATTCTGCTGTGCACACACAGCTGTAGCAGCCTCTTCCTGTGATTTTCATTCCATGAATTCCTTCAAGAATATACTTTTGTGTGATATACAGTTGGTGCACAGCTATATTGTTGCTCCCCAAGCCCAGAAACTTTCAGCTATTCCTTGCCAGATCTGTGAGCAGCTTGAACCCAAATGGGGATGGGATTCAACACTGAGAAAGAGTTAGAGGATCAGTAAATACTAGGCATGGCTGATCTTTAGTAAAAGGAGAAGAGTGAGGGCTAAAGCTGGAATTAATGCAGACTTTTGCAGATCTATGTGGACTGCTTAGTTTTCTACTGGGCAAATCCTAGAGGGAGAAAAAAACATTTAGACCCTCCTCTCTCATTTGTAGCAGTGGAGAACAATAATGCTATAGAGAGTAATGCAGTCACGGTGTCATAACTGAGAAAACCAGCTCACAGACCTTTATGATTTCCGTTTTAGAATATAATTTCTCTTACATTGGAGTGTAGAGACTCTCATTTAATGTAATCATGGAAAAGCTCTGACTGGGCAAGCCAGGCTCCAATAAAAAATCCTATTCCTTTCTCATTTTATTCTTCGTTGATAGTGTTAGGAAGAAACACATGTTGACTTTCTGCAAGTTTGTCCTTCTCCTAAACTATCACCTAATTTCCTCTAACTCCTGTCAGCGGGGGAGTACCACATGTTCACTGGCATGTGTTCCTCCCAGCAGAGGAATGAAACACATCTTATTTTTCACATTTAATTCAGAATTTTTGTTGCTGCTGGTGTCATGCAGTTTGTCAGCCAAGCATAATCTCCTGGCAGGAGGAGACAGAAAAACAATATAAATAGAAGCAATATACTTTGATTGTAGCCCTTAAACTTTTTGATTCAAGCAACATCACCTGGTCCTATTGCCAGTGAAAATAAGAAAAGTGCAAAAGCATAACACATTAAGTCTTTCTGCCCAGGAAAGCAAAAAATAAATTACACAGAATGACCTCCAATATTAATTGCCCTTTTAGCAGCAATTTTCAGATCCAAAAGTAGGTGGAAACTACTGAATGCTAAGAAACTCTTAAGATTTCACAGCATCAGAGAATGAGCTGAAATCAGACTTGTTAGCTTACAATTGCCATAGCCATGCAAGAGGCTAGGCAGAACATGACTTCAAGCTCTGAGTCCTTCTTGGTGAGAGTACTAAATCCTTTCATCAGATCCCCAGCCTTCACATCCAACTATTGCTGTGAGCTGGTTTGAGCACTGTAATAATTTGGAGGTCCTACAAATTCCAGGGTGTCATAGATGAGTTACCCAGGAGTCATTAGTGATGGGAGACATTCCCCTGTCCCTCCTCCCTAACATTTTCTAGGGCTCATCTCTAGGCTTTAGCCACAGCTGAACAGAGAATGATTTAGTGAAAGAGCAGTAATTAAGGACCATGAGAAGACCAAAGTCTCTCCACTGGACAACATGCCCAGTGGGACAATCTTACACTTTGAAGCCAAACAGTCCAGTCAAGAAAAGTCTCTGCTAAGTATGAGACCTGGACATTATTCTTCACCCTGAAGAGCTACAGAGGAGTTGTTTTGCCACAAAAGTATGTGAACTGATGGAAACCAGTTTTCCTGAGGTTTTTATAGGTCTTTGAAATAATCCACATGGAAAAATGTTTTTAAAAGTATGTTTCAGGTTTTCATCTGTTCAGAATACAAGGTGGGAGAGAACTCCCCTGTACATTTCACTGCAATGGTTCATGTAAAACAATAGCAGCACTGGATGTATTAAGAAAAAAAAATCTTGTTATTTATGTAGTAATTGAATTTTGTGCTAATTCTGCCTCCCAGTGTGCCTGAAGAGTCCCAAGTGAGAGTCACATGCAAACAGAAAAGGGCAGTAGAGAGTCCCTAGAGTGTGACACAGGTAAAGCAACAAGGAATCTGAATAAGTCAGACATAGATATGTAGGTTAAAAAAACAAACCATGGTTTATTTAAATGTGTAAAGTACTTGGGAAAGAAAAAGACTACATTGTACTATGGCAATACAGAGAGCACATACTGTAACAAGCTCATCCATCGTAATGAATTCAGGCTACTCTTTCCAGCCTCCTAATCTGCTCAGTCACACAGATCTTTGGGAGAGGCTCACTGTGGATTTCTCTAGGGGACTCCACACTACAGATTAATTTCAGTCAGAATTCACTGTCCTGTTTCTGTCTGTCAGACTCAGGAGCAGAGCATCAACCTCCCACCAGGGGAGACAGGCGAAATATGGCAAAACTTGTCATGCACTAAGACCCTCTGTCATGGGTTAAGTAAAAGTAGCCCAATGGAACATCTGATCCTAGGACAAATTACCAGGCTGCCTGCCTTAACCTTATCCCATCACTGGGATGAGAAGCCTAAAGCAGCAGAGACTGAGAGAGATATTATGATAGTTATAAAATGCCATTTTCAGACACAGCTTTTTATTTCAGGTTCTTCTCAATCCAGTCTTTGAAGGGAAGAGCTTTGGTGTAGCCACTGTAGAGTTCTAGGCTGCAAGTTTTATCATAACCCCAGCTCACTAATCCCATCAGGTGCCACCTTAGCTCAGGAGATGCTTTTCCTGGCAAAGTTATGGCTGCAATCCCACCAGTCTCAGCAGGGCAGATATTAGAAAAGGCTGTGTGGTCTTGTTTGGCACAGAACATGCTGTCAGTGATGCTGACTTGTATCCCATTATCCTCATACTGTTGCTCACACAACAGTGAATCCACCATCTGAACAGCTCCCATGCGGATTGTGTCATTCTTGTATCCAGGATCTTTAATGTCAGCCAATACCTTCCAGCCAGTAACCATTATTTTTAAATCCTCTGTGGATGAAGTCAAGTCATGAGAAGATGACAAGCAAATGGGTTGAACACGACTGCTGATTCTGGCTTTGTCCAAGAGTTTTATGATAGCTATGTCAGAATCAAGCAATATAGGGTCATAATTGGGATGCACTATGATGGCAGAAATCTGGGGAAGAAACAGAATAGGAAGAATTGTATAGTTAACAGCAATAGCAAGTCAGCAGCACTTTTTCCGTACTATAATATGTGTTAGTTTATTTTGCATACTTCTCCTCTACCCTCCACTCCCAAACTGTTCTTTCACCATAGCGCTCACTCAAATGAGAAACACGCAAAGAGATCAAGCATCTTCTGACTTTTTTTTTTTTTGGCTTGGGTTTCAGGACAGTTTTTATTGCATGAAACTCTTCCTAATGAAAAGCAGTCAAGGCCATTTTCAGCAAAATTGGGAGTTAATGTGCAGTTCAAGTTTTTCCACTGTTTACTGAAAAGATTTTACCTGCCATGCCTGTAGAATTTGAAAGGGGGGGGGGGGGCGGGCGTTGGTTTAAAAGGGGGGGGGGGAGGCTTTGAATTAAAATGTTATCTTCTTACTGAAATTCAACCACCTTCTCACCATAAACGAATACTAGCAATAAATTACAGATGTTGGGGCCAAACCTTTACTGCTAGTTACCATGATGAAACACTACAAGAATGGATAGGATTACTATAAGGAAATACTGTAAACATTAATATATTTCCTTACAGGAAAAGTCTGAAAAAGCTGGAATTAGAGAAAGAAACTAAAAATGGGAGGGGGGAGGAGAATCAAATTAACTATGATTTCTTGGATGAAATCCATTAATTAACTCACATACCCCCCCACTCCAGAAAAAGAGACACCCACAGCCAAAATTGCTGTATTTCTCCTCATCTTGACTTAAACCTTTCTAGTTCTACTTAAAAAAATCAAACCGCTCTGGTGAGCCTTAGGTGCTATTTTTGGAGCTGGAGTCAGACATAAACTTCTTTTGAGTTTAGAGTTGTACAGCCTTGGGGTTGAGATGTGAAATGCACTCATGGTGTCAAACCAGGATCTAGAGCACAAATTTTTCACAAATTATGATAATAATCACTTCTGACGGTAGCGGGCATCTCTTCTACTTTTTTTCTGGCAATATCACTCAAGACATTATGGCTCATGGAACCTGAGCTATTTTCTTAGTGATCTGTGTTCGGGGTTGAACATATGAGTTGAACAGTGTCAGAGGAATTTAATGAACTACAGCATGTGCCCTCCTTGTGCCATGACAGTTCTGTCAGTTGAGTCTCTAGATATGCATTTCAAAGAACAGTGTGTAAAACAATATATTGCTCAAAGGATAACCTTTTTCTCCCCATACAAGACAGATGTGGTTAGCATCTTACTGTGCTCATCATTTTCCGCTCCCAGCAGAGTTACTCACCCGCAGATTCTGGATGGTCTTTTCATCCCTGTCATCATCTCTGTAGAATTTCCCCAGAACCACTTTGAGCTCTGCTGTCTTGAGCACAATGGTCTTGCCCAGGTCAGTGACACAGTGAGCTGCCACCACCACGGTGCGCTCATTCACCAGGGCCCCGCTGCAGATAAGGATCCAGGCCCCTTTTCGGAGACTGTTCTCCTTCACCCCACTGGCTGTCCGATAGATTGCCGCTTGCCAGGGCCATCTGGTAGAGGTCACTCTCTTCTGAAGGGTGATGTTTTCTGCTTTTCCACAGACTGAGGAAACATGAATCAAGGATGAGGTAATGCCTTTTCCCCACCAAACAATCTGAATATCACTCTTGATTCCTGCTTAGCATGTGCCGAAAGAAACCAAACTGCAATGGTTAGCATGAGGGGCAGCTTTCTAATTAACCTCTGTCTCCAACCTGCAAAATTATAAGAGTATTTTATATAGCCTTTAAAAAAAAACTTTCAAATTTTCCATTATTATCTGAATTCCTGGCTGAAGTAGGAATGTGGATTTAGCACTTAAGCAGGTGAATTTTCATGACAACCTTATCAAGCTGCACTATAATGAGATGACTGCATAAAGAAATGCAAAGAACACCCCTGATTTTTGCTTGTAACACCATAAGCCAGCAGCGCACTAGAATTCACCTAGGCAGTCACAGAGGTGACTGAGGTTTTTTGTGAGGTCCTCTCCTAGAACTGACCTTAGCACAGATGAGTTCATGCCTATGAGAACGGACTTGTCTTGCAACAAGAACCTTGAAGCAAATGCATCTTCAAATCAACAGCCATCCTGGGGAAAAGAAAAAGCTCTGCCCTGTTCTAGGAATATATTACCCAGGCTCAGACCTGGGGTAAAACCTCCTGTATTCTGAAAGGTTTACTTCAGTTGAAAGAGTTACATCATGTGGTCACATTTTTTAGTCTCCCTTAGGCCATTTTTTTTTTTCCTGGGATGTGCATGCCCATAGTGAAAAGGTTTGAATTAAATAATTTTCAATACATGAGGTGATCTCAAAACAAAACCGCAAACAAGAACTCTGAAAATCTGTTTGATGCTAGGATCTGCTTTTTACAGTTTGCCTGATGTCAGTAGTGGGTTGTACCAAATCTTGTGATATTCCTACCCTGACTCACTCTCTGCACTAGCTCTGGATAAGATTTTGTCTAGACTTACAGTTTGCAATATGAACCCTTCCTTAGCAGGATATATTAAAGGAAGAGTCTCTTTAAAATGCAGACTCTCCATTCTATTGCTTAAGCTTTGATGTTTCTGTCAGCTGTGTGCCAAAGTATAGAGATGGAAGAAAAATCACATTCGCAGTAAATAATACAGGAAAACATGAAGTGATAGTAGGAAAACATTTTCAGATCAGGAGAGAAACTCACTACACCTTTTGCTCAATAAAAGAGTAGAAAAATTGATGGCAAATTACAGTGCTGGAAGCTTGATCCCTTTACAATCAACTGCACAAATTCTACTGGTGGATAAAAAGAGCCATATATCCTCCAAGCTTTATTGCTCCTATCTCCCAGCTGGAAGCATAGGCAGCCTACACTGCTGGAAAAACCTGATTATCTAAGATGAATACACATCCTGTTCCCGCATCCACCCAGAGATGTGTGTATTTTTTTTTTCTTGGAAACTCACTTGGCATACACACAGGGGCTCTCCCACTCCATTTTCCTGTCTTCATACAAGTCCTCCTGCTGCTACCCAAGCGGCGGTAGAAAGGAGAAATGCACTCATACTGAAGCTGAGTATGCAGATGCTGGTACCCTGGGGGCAGGTCTCCAAATGGCAGTGCTGGCTTCTTGGTTGGATAGATTTCAAGCTTTTGCTTGCTGAATGCAGATGAGTAAAGTTGATGCAAAGGTGTTTCCCTGTTTCAAGGCACAAAGAACACAAATTAATAATAATAATATTATAAAACTGATCATTACCATAGCTTTTTCACCAGCTGTGTTAAGTATCATTTCAAAGCATATGAAGTTTGCTTGTAAAAGAATAAGGCAAAAATATCATTCCAACATAGTTTAGCAGTACTCCCATTTACATCCCAGCTATTTTATATATATATACACACATTTATATATACATCCCAGCACACATATATATGTGTGCACACATGTTTATAAATTTTCTATTTGTGTCTCTTTTTTTCATTTTACAGTTTCTGGATTGCAACCAGTTGCCTCTGAGTGTGGAACAGTTTTTGCCATTCACAAAAGGACTGAGATACCATGGTTTTAGATAAAGAAATTACACTAGAAGTTGGCATTGCCGTAATTAATTCTCACTAGAGAGGAGTTAGGCACATCTTTTCTGTAGTGAACATTTTAATAGGCAGTATTAGGAATCGATTCAGATTAAATCATGTTGATAAAGTTGCTTGAGTTAGCAATTAACAGAGATAATTACCTCACCACAGAGATTTCATAATTGCAATAATCACTAAGCTTCCATTTAGAAATTGTACTGATAGGCTGAAACATGGCACATAAAAAAATAAATATATGGACCAGCCTAGATATGGACCATAAACTTGACTACAGTCATACTTAAATCTTCATCACTTAGAAAGTGTCCCTTGCTTTAATGCTTAAAAGCACATATCTACAGAAAAAACTATTTAAGTCTGAAAAATTCAGCAGAAAATTAATTTCCCTTGAGACTTCTGGTACTGCCTGCATCCAGAAAAGCCATAAGAATGTTTTTTCACATAGTAATTCCATTTTTGATCACGGAGAGACACAGACTGCCTCCATCATATAGAATCTGTGAGGTGATACATACCAGCGCTCAAGGAAAATAAAGTTATTAAGAACAAGAGCAATGGCAAGTTTCTTGTATTTTGGAAGAAGGATGAGAGCTGCTGTGGTCATGCTTAGACTGCCAGGGTCCCACTCCCTACTCACATGTGACCTTGCAATATTGCATAATCCACACTTTGCCTCACTATTAATCTGTGAAATGGAGATCCTATTTCAATGGATAAAAACAGTCCACGAACTTAAGATGCCATCATGATGCTATGGAGGTCGGGGCATGTATGCACTCTCATACAGCTGGTGTTAAGATCTGAAACATTTAGCATAAAAAGACCTGTGTGCAAAAGTGAATTGAGAAATTTAAGCAAGAAAAATCCCCTGATGGCTACTAAAGCCTCCTGATGGCTTCTTAGAGCCATCTCTACATTCATATATCGCAGAGCTGGAGAGTAGGACAGTATTTGGGAAGTACGTGTTTGCCTTGTTCCTAAAGTCTTCTCTAGGCATCTGCTACTGGCCTTTGCCAGAGACAGTATATGGCTTGAGCTGCACCTTTATTCTGACCTGGTATGGCAGCTCTTAAGATCAAAGATGAGGACAGTTCTTGCACTGCATCTAGGAATAAATGAATCATGTACTGCCAAAAAAACCTGAAATGAGAAATTTCTCCTTGGACAAAAATGAATCTGAACATTGCAGCATAACTAATTCAGACTGGGTTTATTTCAAGAAATCAGCAGAAGGGTAAGCCCAGACAGGTCTTTCATTCCTTCCTCCCCTCCTACTCTACTTCCTCCTCTCCCCCATGTCCACCCCAAACCGAACTTTCTATCAATTGTGCTATACTGCTTTGGATGGTGAAACTGAATGGGAGCAGATTACATTGCTGTACCCCCGTCTCTCCTGGTGGTCTCCCCACTCATTGCTCCACTAAGACGGCATGTGTTCACATTTTAAGACACATCATTAGCCCCAAGGAACTGTTCTCATAGCCTAATTCTGGCATTGTCCAATAGTTTGCACATTTCTTCCTAGCTGCCTCCAGCAGCTTGCAAACCTGTGCTTAATCAGACCTCCCCTCCCAGCAGCTCTCATTGCTCCATTATCAGTGGAGTTGTAGGAATGGCTGCTCAGGCAGGCTAAACACACAGGGTGGAAAGCAGAGGAGGGGAAAAGCAATCACATTTTTTCTTTAAACTGTAGTTGAGATATTGCATTCTCACCTTGACTGAACCTGCATTGGAAGCACTTTCTGTCTCACCAGGTCAGAGATCTTTGGCTCTCTGCAGGCTAGAAAAAATATAATGTTGCACAGTGCTTTTCCACATTCACAGCTCAAGCGTTACGGTTCATACACATTTCCACTTTTTCCTCTCACTAGCTATAGTGGACTGGATTAAGAAAAGAGGCAGTAAGTTACATGTATTAAAATAAAGATAGGCCCTAAAACCTAAAGCCTTGGAAAAATACTTCCCCACAGATCACCAGATCTATCCCATTTACTATGGTGGAAGCAACTGAGCATCTTCTGCACTGGCACTTTCAGCCATGGAGGAAGATTTGTCCATCAGTGTGTCTGAATGCCAGATTTACATCAGTACAAGCTGGTGGTTTGGAATCTGCAATTTTGGAATCTGGAATTTTGCAATAATGGAATTATACAAAAAATACATAGTTTCCATCTGTGTAGCCACACACAGCTAATTCCAGTGACTCAGCATACAGAGAAGTCTGCAGGATGTTACAGACTTCTAAGAGTCTGTTTGCTTGTGCACCTATTGGAAGGAGCTGGAGACTCTGATTCAAAGGAACACCTCAGAGTTACCTGAATATGCACAATATAACAGAAGGGAGATCCAGAATTTCTAATTTTGTGTATTCATTTTATTTACTTTAAGAGCAGGATAAAATATACATGTTTATTAGTTCAGATAACTCTGCCAGGATCTCCTTCCTGCTGCGCCCAGTGGAAGAAAACAAATCTTGCAGGATGGATTTTAGCTGTATGCCTGAGCACTTGTATTCTGTGGGATTTAACAATATCTAGCTCTTTGTGATTACTGTATATGTTAACCCTTATGTCACCATCAAAGTTAACATCAATAATGATGCTTTCCACAAATAATTATCACCAATAAAGATGCTTTCCACAGATGATTATACACTTCAGGGAGAGAGTATTTCCATCTAAAATAACGGAATAAAGCAAATTCCCCAGGGGACAGACATATTTCTTTACATTATCATTACTTCAGTTAAAAAAAAATCCATTAAAATATCTGTCAAACAATTGCTTTGGGAAAATTAATTTGGCAGTTCCCCAGACCAAATTCATTCATCCATTCAGGGTGGCAGACACACTTAGAGTAGCTCCAGATCAACATCATAATTCCCTTTCTAGCAAATTATTTAAAGATGTGTTTCAGTGTTTCGATGAATACAGGTAGTTTAAGCATGTATTCAAGTGGTTTTCTGAACCAAACCTTTAAGGGTGCAATCTACAGGCTTGGCCTCTTACACTCATGACTGGTCCCATTGACTTAAAAGGATTGTGAGAGGAGAGCTCAGCCCTGTAACAACAATTCTGATGAGACAGTTATTTCCTCTATTTCAATTCCCTCTTGATCTTCTTTAATTTTGATCTTACACAGGTTTGATCCTAGAATGAGGGTAAAAAGGGTCTTAGGGAACATTCCTTTCCGTGGTTAAAGATGGAAACATCTTCTGAAATTGCTGGCCTCTTCTCTGGCTGAGTTTAGCCGCCAGTAGAGCTCGCAAACTACCAATCTCACTATCAAGTGTCAGTCAGACGGTTTATTCTTAGCAAAAATGATTGTTCGGTGAGTGTAAATTATATAAAACAAATTCCAGTAAAACCATAGCAGCTTTTGTGAGTTGTGGTAAAAAACATTGTAAACTACCTTTTATGCAGATTGGCTGCTTTCCTGACCATTCTCCATCATCTTGGCAGGTCCTCTGTTCATTCCCACTAAGAACATATGAGTTGTTACAAAAGAAAGCAATGACTGTGCCAATTTTTGCATAGCGTCCCTTCAAGAGCCCAGTGTCTTCTACTACTCTTCTGTAGCCATTGAGTGGGCCACCAGGATCTGAGCAGTTTTTTTCATCTAGAACTAATGATAGGGGAAAAAATAGTAACCATTTTATCAAGTTCACAGCATTATTTTCACCCATCAGATTGCTTGGCATTTCATTCAGATGTTACTACACAATCTACACTTTATTAAAGATGTCTTTTCAAGACCTATTTGGGATCTTTGTCTTCAAAAAGATCAAACATTACAGAAGAAATGATAATATACAGATGTCTGTTTATAATACACACTTTAGTCTTCACTGAAAGCATAAGATTCTCAAATTATTAAAAAGACTTTAAAATGTAGCTGACAATCCTGAAAAAGAACCTTGACTTTACATGATGTTAATGTCCCATTAACAGGACTACTTCAAGAGCATAAAAGGATGCACTTACACTATTTGTAGGAAACAGGTGCTTGGCATTCTTTTCCCTTTTCTGTACTTTCAATGCTTCACTGGACTTTGATAATAAAACTAGACTACTTAATTTTACTTTTATGTTTGGTTGCATTTTGGTTTCTTAGCACTGAGAGGGATATCTCAATAATAATAATCCAGGGAAAGACAGGAGTTGAAAGAGAACACACATAGATATATATATATACTTACTGATACTAAAAATTTAAATGGAAAGCTTACTCATGCTAGTTTCTGCCTATAAAACCTCTTTTACTTCCTCCTTCCCAATATTTTCCCCTTCATTTTATTTGTTGTTGTGGTTTTTTCTCTCAATAAACTTAAATTTTTGGCCTAAATCTGGATGACAGTATTTCCTATGTGATGCTAATAAATGCTTTTCCCTATATTTTTCCCTCCTCTGCTCTTTCTATTTGGCAGCTGGAAATGTGCTTTTTTTTTCCTTTGGATTTCATCTCAGTTTTCTTGTCAGACTGACAGTAACATGCAATTCTGTTTAATTCCTCTGTCTGATGTCTCATTGCATGATAACCAATGAACATGTAGTTTAGAGAGCTACTGTTGGTGCTGCTCTGCTTATGGAGGGCTGAGAAGACTGAGACATATCAATTGACCAGAAATCACCTCTTCATGTCATTGATTCAGACTCAGCTGCCTGCTGAGGCTCACTTCACAAAAGCACCAACATATAACAAAGCACTTAAACATTTAGGGGGGTTGGGCTCGATGATCTCTCGAGGTCCCTTCCAACCTAAAGCATTCTATGATTCTATGATTCTATGATTTATTTAAATCCCTGTGAAATCAGCACAGTAACAGTGCATAGGTATGGTTCTGTCCTGTTCCCGTATCCTCATGTAACCAGACAGAGCCCAGCTCAGCAAACCATGTAATCACATAGCTAACTGTAACAGTACAAGTTCAATAAAGAGCATATGCTCTTAACATTGGGTATATAATTCAAGCTAAGCATATATTTCAGTGCTTTCTTTAAGCATCATTTAATCCATCATTGGATTTAGCATATGCTGAAGTTTATATATGTACTTAAATACTTTTACACGAGTCATATTCACTAAACAAAAAGAATGTCTGAACTTCCTCTCAACCAGGAGAAAGGGAGAAGCAGAGTCCTGTCTCCTTTTAATTTGGCTCCATTTTTCCTCTCTGTACCTCACAGGCTCTCTCACTTGTGAACCACAAATGACTGATAACTTGATAGCAGCTAAAGACTACAGGGAATCACCCACAGTATAACGCTTTATTTGCAGATTGCTTTCTGCACTGATATCTAGCATCATCATCTGATGAGCAGAGTGCTTGTTTCCAAATGTACCTAAGCTTGACCAAATAAGTCAATGAAGGCCTTCTCTTATTTCATCCTATGCCTATCGGTAACTTGAACAGTAATTCTCTTCTTCCCTAAGCTCAGGGTTATGACTTTTTTGATGGATTAAAACCAAAGACAAAACATCTGGGGAGGAGAAACCTAAATTACACCATCTAGCGCTTCAGTAACAGCCAAGTCTAGAGACAGATTTTTCAACAGATCTTTAGCCAGGGACATCATGCAGCAGGGACTTCAGCACAATCCTGATACATTCTCTCTAGACAGAAGAATGCCTATTGCTTGCTCTTTCAGATGAACTTATATGCTGTTTCACAACACTTCCCCCAAAATTTTCATTGTTTGCCACAATACACTTGTAAAAGCACTTTTCCAACTGATACAAATTATTCTGGAATATGGAAATAAAATTGTGCAATACAAAACAACTAAAGAAAAATTAAGTATCTTGTGAATGGTAGGCATGCCAACTTGCACAGCCAGAATGAATGTAAGTTTCTCTTTTATAATTTTTTCTCTAGGATGGGAATTCTGTTAAGTCATGCAGTAAGCCCCTAATCACCTCCACAGAGTGCACCAGACTTCTGCAGAGAAGGTATCAGAGGTACATAGTAATGGAAGTAGCTATTTATTGTTGCACAATGTCCCTCACTTGGTTTTGGTCCTAGACATTTTCAGTCTGTGTGTAAGAAGGATGTATGCCTAAAGTCTTTGAGGAAATTATTTTTCAGTGATTTGATGTTTTAGTCAGACCTTTATATAAGCAAGTCTTGCAGGCTTGGGATCCAGCAGAGTAAAATAAGAATCCCTACTGCTTCTTAAAGACAGGAAGACAAGAGAACATCATGTTAAGCCATGGGTCTAACAAATTTCAAGTGAGATTTGGATATTCTAGTTTCATGTGAATAAGCTGGCCGAAACATTTGATAAGAATCAAAACTTAAAGTGACCTTACCACATTCAGGATGACGTGTTGACCAAATCCCATCAAGCTGACAGTAGGCAACGTGGCTGCCTTTTAAGCTGTAACCTGCGTTGCACTTGAAGTAAACCTGGGCCCCGTATTTAAAGTCATCTCCTTCCACAATACCATGAGCAGGAGCACCTGGAGTCCTACACATCACCACTGACAGTTCAGATATTTCAAAAAAATCCACTTTATTACAAAAACAGGACTGTGTTAGGATGATTTTTTATTTAGAACATTGAAAAACCAATTAAAATGGGCACAGGAGTCAAAATTACAAGACAGGTATATACCAATCTTTAGAAAGTTGTTTAGACATCAGTTCTACACACACTTACATATATGCCACTTCTCAAAACATATCTAGATCCATTCAGTTCAATGGGATTACTCAGAAGTGTGAAGTGATCATGTGCATAAGTGTTTGTATCGTTAGGGCTCATTTGCTCAAAATACTAATACTTGAAGCACTTTCCATCCTAACAGGGGTTTTGAATGAACTACCATGCTCGGCCAAGAAAAAATTTAGATCCTTAAAAGCCTTATATTGAAATTCTTTCAAATCTTTCAATTTTTATATAGTTTTTCAGATAACCTCACTGAAATATTAAAGCATCATTATTTGTGTAGATCAAACATTATCATAATGACATTAAAAAGGAACCTTGATATTTACCAAACTGTGATATTTACCCTTTCCACAGGGTTTGCTCTACTGGGAAAATATTTGCAGATAACGGTGTATTTAACTACTGCAAGTAGTAAATATTAAACATTGTAAGCAAGATTTCTCCAAGAGCATCAAACCAGTCATACTAAATCAGAACAATGGTCCATCCAGCACAGAAACCTGTCTTCAACAGTGGTGAACAGCAGATTTGATGGAAGGAGTAGAAAAACAGAACAAGCATATAGAATACTTTCCTGACATATTCTGGCAGCATTCAGCAATCTGGGGCTCAAGGACTACCTGAACTACAATGGTATTTTTGGTATAACATACCCTGGTGATTTTATTTTAACATTAATTTGTCTGAGTATTTTTTAAACTCAACTACATAGTTGGTGTCCACAATATCCTGTGGCAAGGAGTTCTACAGACTAAGTGTTGCATGAAAAATATACTGCCTTCTTTGGTTTGGTTTCTAGCCTGCCACCTGATAATTTCATTTGATGCTCTACTTTCTCCGTTATGAGAGACAGAGAACGTCCATGCCCTATTCACCTTCTCCAAGTCACTTTTTAAGACCAATTTTCTGTATGTAGAAATTACAACAATGTAAAGCACAGGTTTTAGTATCTACACAGTTATCCATCTCTGTGTGTGTCTCTGGCTTTGCCTGGCCATTCATTGTGGAAAATTGCATAGGAAAGGATTCAGTACAAGATTTAGAGATGCGTATGGGTTTTTTACCTGGGAACTGTGGTACTCCACTGAAGGTCGCTAGATGAATGCTAAAGAGCTCATCCCTACTTTATGCTTTTAGAATATGACTTTTTCTGTTTTGCCTCATAGCTAGTTGCTTACTAATCTACAGCCAAATTTTGATCCTTACACTTCCAGAGGAAAAACTTTTCTAAGGCTTCAGCCCTGTAATCCTTACACAGAACACACGTGAATGCATCTATTCATATGGACTGTGGACCATCCAATTATTCACATAAGGAAGAGATTCTTGAGTAACAGTCCTAAAGCAGCAGCGTTCACAAGAACAAGGCTCCACAGAAATTCCCCTCATTTTATGGTTTACTACAAACATCAAAGGCAGCAGAATCATTTGTACACTAGTAAGCACAAGTCTTGGAATGAAAAACTGTCTGACATTTAAGCATTAGAGAAGGGCCCAGACTCACTGCTCCAAGTCAGAACACATCCAGCTGGAGCTCCCACTCAACATTTCCTCTGGGCTGCAAGTGTTCTGTATCAATGTCATCTTTAGTGAAAGAGTAATGATAAAAACCCAAGAAAATTCATCCTAGCCCTTGACATTTCTCATGTGAAATATAGGCACAGATACATATACATGCATATATAGGTGCATATGTGTATACAGAAGCACATACATAAATGAAAGGGAAATAATGGGAGCATAGATTTTCTAGGTGTTTTAAATTCTCAGAACACTTGTCTTCACAGTCAAGATCTTTGTATTCCCAGTCACTTCCTCCATCTCTTTCTCCGAAAAGCAATTAATTTCACTACATTTATATTTCTCTCAATGTAAAGTCACACTCAGCTTGTTAAATGAGAAAAGATTATTAGAAACATCTGTGCACCACTCAGAGTTCTCCTTTTTATCATATGTACAGGTTTTCTGTTTTGCTTGTGGTCCGGTTCAGCTCTGCAGAACAAATGTTTTGGTGCTTTTGTGTTCTAGGTCCATCCTGGAAAAAATGTCACCAAGCTACACTTACTTTTTCCCCCCAAACTATAAGTATTTGTTCTTGTTCAGTCTCCTAAGTCATGAAGACATTTAGTTTCTAGTCCTTTTGACTTGCTTTGGTTGCCAGACTTTAGATTCTCTGTGCCAGTGTGACACAGCTGGAACAACTCTGATTTTATTTATGATGTAAATTCAGTGTTTTGTGCACTCATTTAGTGCATTCATTTAGTACTGGAACTATGGCCTAGAGTAGAGGATATGGAGGCAGAAGGTCATGAGATCTGATCACAGGTATAAAACTGTGGCCATAGCTATGTTGCTTCATCTGCTGTATCTAACAAGTGAGAGCACCCCTTTCCTCACAGGGATGTTATAAGCATTAGCTCACACCCACTTGTGTCACAGAGTCACCGTGGGGTTTCTCTGATGGCAAAACAGTGAAGTATTATTAATAGATGTGTCCCTTTTGTTACCCATGCTTTCATCTACTGGTTGTCTGTTCTCTTGCAACACAGGATTTTCCCTCATGGTCTGTCCTATTCTTCAAACTTCGCCACTGGAGGCGCAGCCACTCATTTTTTCTTTGGATCATTTTGTAAGTTCATTCTTTCTCTCTACAAATTAAATGTGTTTTTGAATCTTGCGATGTTCCCTGCATCTCAGTACCACAGCTGAGCTCTCTGAAAAGCTATATTATCTATATCTAGCCTGAAAGTCACATACAGTTACTCTAGTACTTGCCTCTACTGCTTTGGTTTGAGCTCTATAGCTTTTTTCCCTCTTCAGTTTCATTTGCCTTTTATCCCTTTCACCTAATGTTTCAGGCAGCTCTTCTGCACCTTTTCCCTTTACTTGTGAACACTTCAGGCAATGGAGTTTTGAACAGTTCTTGTGAAGGGAATCCTATCCCCTACGTGCTTCATCCAATTCTCTCTTACCATTTTGTGGATAGCTTCCCATCAAGAGTGTGAATTTGACTGATTCTTACATCTTTCAGAATATGCAGTACATTCTATTGAATTTTAGGACAGCCTCCTTTGATATATTTTATTGAAGTCTTTCAACATTCTCTCCTGATGTAAGACTATATACAACTCTCCAACAGACATTTCTCAGAAGTCAAAAAGAAAGGAAAAGAATATTTTGTATATGTCATTCATACCTAGTTCTGCCCTTACCCTCTGGATACACACACTAGCCATAAAATCTAACCACCTGAACTGCCCCAATTCTCTTCAGTTTCTAAGCTCTCTAAGATATTTTACATTACTTCAGATTCCCTTGTCTAGGCAGGATGGGGCTGATCCTGCCATCTACTCTGTATTTCTGAGTATCAGTCCTCCTCCGCTGTGTGGTCCAGCTTTCACAGTCATGGGGGCTGGATCCCCCTCACAGCCCTCACCCACCCACAGCCATCCCCATACCACCTTTTATCCACCCCCAGCTATACCTGTGCCTGGTCTAGCCTGACCACTACAGCAGAGACAGGGTTGTGAGCCATTTGGGCAGCACTTCCTTGGGAAGCAGGTGGTGGGCTGGCCAAGAGCACTCCATGGGCTTGAACCATTCCTAGGCCAGTAGTTAAACTGCTGTGCTCCACATGAAATAAATTATTCCTACTGCCCTGTGACTCTGTCTTCCTGCCTTTAAGGTGTCTTAGACATCTGTCATTTGTGCTGTGTTTGGCTATAGCATTACTTGTCCATAGCAAAATGAGAGAGGAAGGAGTAGGAAAATCTGTCTTGATAACCCTTGGGAGGACTTTCTCACTGACACAGTAGTGGTTAAAGAAAGAACTGGCATCCATAGGTCTTATCCTACTTAAAGGCCTTATCAACATTTCCCTAGTGTTAGTGCAATGCTCTCTGAATAGCAGTCACTTCCCAGCTTTTCACAAGATTAATACCTTACCTTTTCTCTCAGTGCACTTTGCAAAGCAGACAGAGGAAGAAGCAAAAGACAAGTTAGAGAGCTTCAGACAGAATTATCTATGAAATGTATCATGAAGTCAGCAATACTCACCCCAAACTGTAAGGTTTGAGACAGCCCTGCCAAAATGGAACTAGGAGTGTCAGGATTTCAGGTTGCAGTGCTCGGTCTCTGCACCTTTCTCTCCACAAACAGAAGACCAAAGCCACCATAAACCCAGAAAATTTACTAGGTGGCTGCAAAATTCTACTATGAGATGGTAACGGACAGCCAAATATCAAAGACATTCATTCAAGTTCTGACAAAAAAAGTCTGAGCAACCCAGAGACTCCATGAGGGTCAGGCTGATCCCATTCTTCGTGCCATGGTGTCATCATACCTATAAAGATTCTGGTGAATTTATATCTAGAAAACAGTAGGAAAACTGGAGAGATTTCAGGGAAAGGTGAAACTAATGTTAGGGAAATATAATCTTGAGAGTGACTAACAGCTAAGAGTGACCACCCTGGTGATGCAAAAGCTAAAAACTAAAATAATCTAAAAGCTAAAACTAGAAAGGATACAGTAAAATGTTTAAAGGAAGACAAAAAGGTATATTCAGGCAGGATAAAATTAAGAACAGAGGAATTCTTATTCAAGAAATACTCTATAAAAGTCTCCTTGACAAATGTTTGAAAAGCATAGTAGGATATAAGTGGAAATTATATGAGTCTCATAATTTGAAAATTGAAACTCCAGCTAAAAAAAAAAATGGAACAGACTTTGGAGAAAACAGGGTGACACTAGCAAGCCCATTATGAGCTGAGAGATTTTTTTTTGTTTTGATTTTTCCATTTTTTGCTACAC